ACTTATATATTTGAAACTTCAGTGATAAACTTTAATCACATTGATTACAAGTTAAAAATGTATTAGTCAAAAAAAAAAAAAAAAAAAAGCTCTGGCAGGGCGTGGTGTCTCAGGCCTGTAATCCTAGTACTCTGGGAGGCTGAGGTGGGCAGATTACTCGAGGTCAGGAGTTGGAAACCAGCCTGAGCAAGAGCGAGACCCTGTCTCTACTTAAAATAGAAAGAAATTAATTGGCCAACTAAAAATATATAGAAAAAATTAGCCGGGCATGGTGGTGCATCCCTGTAGTCCCAGCTACTCGGGAGGCTGAGGCAGTGGGATCACTTGAGCTCAGGAGATTGAGGTTGCTGTGAGCTAGACTGACGCCATGGCATTCACTCTAGCCTGGGCAACAAAGTGAGACTCTGTCTCAGAAAAAAAAAAAAAGCTCTAAAAATAAAATGTATATGTTTAATCTACTATTGAGGGGGAAGTATTTGAGTTAGGTGTGCACAGCAGATCCCTCCTCTTTTTATGTTTCTAAGAAAAAGGTTTCTAGGGCTCTCATAGTGACTCTGGGTGCTGCAGCCTGACACGTCCTTCATTAAAAGTCATTAATAGCTGGGTGCAATGGTGTGCACCTGTAGTCCCAGCTACTTTGGAGGCTGAGGCAGGAGGATCCCTTAAGCCCAGGATGCTGAGGTTGCAGAAAACTATGATGATGCTACTGTACTCTAGCAGGAGTGACATAGTGAGACTCTATCTCCAAAAAAGAAAAAGGAAAAACAAAAACAAAAACAAGAAACAGGTTGTTAAACAAATATGGAAATGCGGATGTGTGACCGTGGCCCTAAGAATCCAGTTCTTTCGTGGACCGGTGAGGTATGGAATGTTGGACAGTTCATAAGTGGTGCATGGAGCACAGCATGAGCGGGTTCCAGAAGGCAGGCTTGGAGGAAAAGACAGCAACTAGAAGGTGGCCATGGAAGCAGGAGCCCTCACTGAAATTCAGCTCTGCCTCCCAGCTTGGCTGACAAGCTAGTGAATGAGAGGGTGGGGAACCTTTCTTCTTCTGTGGATAACAATGGCAAGCATTCATTGAGTGCTTACTGTGTGCCACACAAACTGCTTGCATACAATAGCATCTAGTTCTCATGGTTACCAAATGAGCCAGGGTTGTTCTTGGTTCCATTTCAGAGAAATTTCACAGAAACCAGGGCACAGAGAGGTGAAACAATTTGCCCAAGGTCAGGGTTACAGAGCCAAGAAACAGAAGTGTCTGGGCTGTCTGCCTTTAGAGCCTGGTTATCCTGGTACCTGAGGTGGCATCATGGCTAGGACCCAGTGACAATCACTGGTCATTACTCAGTACAATGACCAGAACTCATGGCTGGCTTTTGCTGTCCTACAAGTCAAACTGCAGAATCATGTTTATATGGGCACGGTCAGGCCCTCTGGATCACAATGCTCTGTGACTGGTTTTCTGTCACTTGGAGGCTGGCTAGGAGCATATTTCCTATTCAGGGGACCATGATCACAGACAGATGTACTGTGTCCTTATGTTTGTCATTTTCACTTTTTTCTTTTTAATTGCCTGTCCGATAGTACACTCTGCACCCCAGGATGGAGTCTCTTGATGATTTTAAGCTGTACACTGCAGACTCTGACCAACTTCTTTTTTTCTGGCCAACTTAATTTTTTAAATTAATTTGTTTAGTTGTTTTTAGTAGGTCAGGGACATACTTATAAAAATGGAGAACTAGATAAAAATAACACAGCTTCTTACTACTATAGAAGACAGTTTGCATATAATGTTTAATATTGATACTGCCTTGAGTGGGTATAATGCCTTTCTTCCAAAGGCAAATAGCTCAAAATGGTTGTCAAATGATTTGTTCTAAGTTTAACACAAGGGAGAAATTTGACCACTTTTGTTCTTACAAAAATGCAAGTTGGTAATCAATCTAAAAGGAATTAAGCTGTCCTTGATAACATGAGGCCAGGGAACTGATGTCAACCGTATGGATTCTAGACCGGGCAGAACAAGACTAAGGTGGATGCGTTGAATGACTGCAAAGAGAGACAGAGCACAGTGAAGGATGGGATGTCGGGGCTTTTGAAAATTTAATGAGGATGTGACTTGACACTTGGACCCCTGTTGTTTGTCTGAGCAGAGTGGAGCATGTTAATCTGCACAAGATCATCTCCATTTCAAAGAAATGTTTTCTTTACTAGATGAAATTAGATTTCAGAAAACATTGCTTTCCTTTTGTGACTGTGAGCTGGCAGTGAGCTGGCCATGGTGTGTGCTTTTCCTGGACTGGACCAGACCACTGAACAGATGTAATGGATCAGCCGAGGTTCCCATCTGCTGACAGTCACTTCTGTGCCTGCATTTCTTGACCGTTATCAGAGGAGACGAGAACTGTTCTGGAATCAGCCATAGCTCAGACAGCATGGGCAGACTCTTTATGGCCAAGCATAAAGGAACTGGCCTTGGCAGGGTTTTGGTTCTTGTGACCCTTAGCACTGGGAGAGGACACCTCTGTCTGATTTAATAGACTTCCATTTGGAGGATGGAGATGAAGGTACAAAGAAGAAGTCTTCTGACCTTTCCAGAATGCTCACATTCTTGATTTCTTAAACTATTTCTGCAATGGTCAAAAGGCTGATAAATGGATTTCAACATGCTTTCAAAGTGTTTTCCACTTTTGATGGCCCTGTTCATCCAGCAGCAGTAACAGATACTGTTGTTTTCTCCCTTTTTTGACATGGCCACGCCCTGCGGTAGATGGCAGAGACAAAATAAATACAGACTACAGTCTCTGTCCTGAAGGAGTTTTAAGGCTGCAAAGCCAATATACATGAAACAGCAAACACTATGAGAAAGTCTATAAACAGGGTAGGACATCAAAATTACAATTAAATAATTATTTGTGTAATTATTTGCTTAATGGCTGCATTCCTTCTAAGGCATTAGTCCCATGAAACCAGGGACTGAATCTGTCTTTTTCACCATCATTGTATTCCCAACACCTAGTACAGTGCCCGGATACAGGAGGTGCCTAAATATTTATTGTCTGACTGAACGATTGCAACAATTTAATAATTGGGTTTAATACTTGTTATCTTGGAGTGATGCTGCATGAATCTGCATGAGAGGGGTTTTGTAGAGTGGGGTGTTGCATGCCTGTTGCATGAATTGTTTTTCTTACAAATTGACTTATAAAACTTTCAACATCTGAGCAGATCATTCATAAACTAGGCATAAAGTGAGTGCCTACCTTAGTGGATAGGGGCAACATGTATGTAAGCATATTAGATAACTGCTATCTTGGTGGGATTTGAGAAATACCAGGAAGCACCTCTTTTAAAAAATATATAATGTTTCCATTAGATAGTAATTCCTTTAAGTTGTGAAAGTGTTGAAGTCTTCCAATTTCCCATAAAAGCACAGAAATGACATCCTACGCCTTTATTCTTCCAACATTTTTGCAGACTTTGTTGAAATGGGGGCCCAGGCTAAAGCATAGAGACAATATAAAATCCTGCTGATATAACTGGGTTGTATTTATTCTGATGGAAATTAGATTAGATGGGGATCAGAGAAGCAACTTTCAGATTAAAACTCTGAAAGAAGCACCTATGGATCACATCATAATAAACCTAAAGAATTAAGAATTGACATTGAAAAGCTTTTATAATTGATAGCATCTTTGAATTCAGAGCTCCACATATCACATTATCAAGTTCAAAGGATGCTGTCATTTTTCTCAGTAACTATGCTGTTATCACCAAGATAACAAAGCTGATAGGAGCAAGATCAGGAAGCCAAGTCTGTGGGTTGGGAGTTGAACCTACATCTCCTGACTACCAGACTCCTTTTTCTGTTGCATCTTTGTCACACAAACTGCCAAACATCCTGTCTACACCCAGAAGTGTCCCCCGCCCCCCCGCCCCCCACAGCTTTGGAGGCAATGGAATGCCGGGTGTTTAATTCTGGGTTATGAGGAGATTGAATTCTTTGGAATCATCCCACAACCTTGAACAAAAAGGTGAAACCTGTCTACTTTGATAGATGACAGCAGAAGATCCTATGGTTCAATGGGCAATTTGTAAATATAAAACAGTTGCCGGAAAATTATATTAGAGATGAACTATCTCCTCCATTATGATGTTTGCTTTTCTTTAATGCAATTTAGTTTAAGCAGAAAGGCTTGGGAGAGGCCACATGCAATGCTTCAGGAGTAGTTACTGGAAGCAGATAGGGGAGTGAGCAAGGCGAGCCATAGATCTGCAGCAGGGCAATCAGAGGCCTTCCGCCCAGGCCTGTGCTTAGGGCCTTGGCTGTGCCCACGGGAAATTGAATTCAGAGCTCCTTCTGCATCATAAATCCAGGGCAGCTGGCCGCTCTCCAAGGGAGACTGGCGCTAAACGCCAAGGGCATCTGACGCCAGATTGGCCAACCCCTACAGTGCCCTCTGAGGGCTGGGCCCAGGTAAGCCAGACTGGGATTCCGTTCCAACCTCAGGACAAGCATTCATTTACAAGACCTACACTTTGTTAATTTAAAAATGCACTCATCGCCAGGAAAGGAGAAGCAGCTTCAGGATACATCAGAAAGCTGAACGGCTGAAATTATTCTGACATGCCTTAGGGCCGAAGGGGAAGGCCTGACTTTTGAGTGCGTCTGATCCTTTCTGGATCATTTTCCCCAAGTGCACGTGCGAGTTGGACCCGTGGCCACTGGGTTTTGTAGAGTAGGGCGTTCTCGTGTCCCGGACCCCACGCCCGTCCCCGGGCTGCTGGAAGACTGGGGGCGAGGAGGCGTCGAGCCGCGCGCTGCGGGCCTGCACGCGAAAGGCCCGGCCGTCCCCAAACCCCACTGGCCGCCAACACCGCCGGCCCGGCCGGTTCCCGCGGGCGGGGCGGTCTGGGGCCCCGCCCACCGCGCCCAGGAGGCGGGGCCTGAGTCACGTGACGGCGCGCCGAGCGGCGAGGCCCCGCCCGGCCGCGACCCGGGCCGCGCGCTGAGGAGCCGCCCGGCCGCCCGCGCGCTCCCTCAGGCGGCTTCCCCAGTCTGCGGCCCCTCGGCCGCCGGTCCCGGGCTCGCCGGCTGCGGGAGTGGCCTCAAGATGGATGAAGACGGCGGTGGCGAGGGCGGCGGCGGTGAGTGTCGGAGGTGTGGCCGGCCCGCTGGCGGCCTGGGGCCGGGGGTCGCGGGCGGGGACCCAGGCGGGGGTCCGGAGCCGAGGTCCGGGGCCGCGCAGGTGCGGGCTGGCGACCGCGGGAGGCCCGAGGCGCGCCGGGCCGGGGCCCGAGGCGGGGTCTCTGGAAGGGGACCCGGGGAGGGGGCTGGCCGGGGTCGCCGCCCCGCCCGAGCGAGGGTCGGGGGTGCGGGCCGGCGCCGCCGCGGGCCGGGGTGGTCCCGGGGGCTCAGGCTGGGGCTCGAGGTCGCTCTTCTTGGGCGGCGGACCTTGTGGGGCGACCTTCCCCGCATCTTGTCGCCAAGGGCGTCCACGCCCTCCCGAGCCTTGCGTTTCAGACGACCCCTTTCAGCTGCTTAGGTGGTCCGGAGCGGGCGAACCGGTGGCAATTGGGGAGGGGAAAGTTTTGAATTGGGGCTCCTCCGGGGAACAAGAGGGGGGAAGGTTGGAAATCATGACCATATTCTTGGCTTTAGGTCAGAAGCGGTTGCTGGAATTTCTTAAACGAGGAGGGGGCATTTCGAGTCCAGGTCTGGGTAGCATTTTATGAAATAGCAAACGTTACAGAGTAAGCAAAAACAAGTCGCTTCAGCTGAGGGTGGGAGTCAGGACCCACAGCCAGCACAGGGGTGAGAAGAGAGATCCAGGTGTGGAGGATACCTTTCTGAAGTGGGTCGAGTCACCGTGCCCGGTGTGGCCCAGCTTTTCTGGGTCTGACGTTCAGTTTTCCTCTTGCTGGAAGAGTCGTATTTGCTGTAAATTATTTAGTGGGATACAAATTACTATTGGGTCATGCTGTGAATTAGGTTTTAAAAACAGAATAACGTGCCTCTATATGGAGTGGGTCATTGCTTTGGAAAGCAAAGGGTTAATGGCCATATTTTACAGGAACACCCGAAGTTGAGGTTCTCTATACTTTTGCTGAAGATCTCCTTTTTGCTGACAGACTAAATCACCAGAACCCCATGTAATAAGGGAGCATTTAGAAAAATCTTAATTACAGGCTGCTGGAGCAGCTGCCTGTAAGAATCAGCAGTATTGAATGCTTCAGGATGAAGTGGTTAATCAAGCAAGGTGCCTTCTAGAATTCAAGTGCTGTTCAGAGGAAAATGTTTTTGCTGAAAGAAGCGATGCGGCCCGGGGATGGTGGGAAGGGAAGTTGGCACCAGTCATGGTATTTGGCGACTTTATTACTCGTAGTTGAAGCTAGGGGGGTAGCACGGGGTAGCACTGTGGCACCAAGTGGGTGTGTTTATGAAAGAGGGTGCTGTGGAAAGAAGGAGCCCAGTTGCAAACCCTCCTACGGCCAGGCTGTCCTTTGGAGACACAGGATCCTAAGTAATGGATTCCCTCTGGATGCCGTGCTTCTTGCCTGTCACAATTTGGCATAGCAGTGTTCACTTGTTAGAAATAAAGACAACTGTAATATTTAAACGTTTGACATTAGAGTCAAGGTAATTAGCTGGCTTGGCAATTTTGTTTGGAAGGTGCTTCCAACTCTGTGAATAAAGAAATGTAAAGTTGGAGGTAAAAGCAGATATTAAAGAGAAAAAGAAGCTAATGTGTTCTAGCAATTTATAGATCTTGACTACAACAAAGGATGATATTAAGTATCAAAAGTCTTAAAACTACCTTTGGTCTATTAATATTTCTTCTGGGAATATATCACAGGAAAGTAAACGTGAAATAAATGCCTGAAGGTGTGCATTATACCATTTATAATTGTAAAAAATTGGAAACAGTAATGCACAATGGTAAGGGGATGGTGAGGTAAATTATGGGAAGTTTATTGGGTGAAACGTTTTATAACCATTTAAAAAACAGTTTTATACATCATTGTCTAAACAATGTGAAAACGGGTGCCATTATGAACTTTTACTTTTCTTAGTTTTTATGTTTTCCAGGTTTTTAGAATAAGTGTGTATTACTTTCAAATTTGAAAATAAAACCCAGCTTATAAAAGGCATGTGAAAGTTTTAAATGTATCATTTAATTTACCTCATTGGAACATTAAACAAGAACATATATTTGATTGTCTACTAAAATGCCAGAAAGCATGGTACATGCTGGAAAACAACTTTTAACCTTTACTGATTTGGTTTATTAAGATCTTTCTTCCTTACATTGTGGAAAACACTTAAACATATATTTGGCAGTCTTAGGATAAGTATTTATTTTTAAATCAAGTGAAAATCTTTCAAGTTTTGAAATGAGTCATTGTGATTATTGTATAAACTTGTGCTTATATTTAACTCTTGAAGTTAACATACCTCTGCAGTTAAAACTAGATTTTTAAAAACTTTAAAATTCATGTTTTTAAAAATGAAGCCCAACTCTTTGAAAGAAAACAATTTCATTTGCCAGCTGATTGTAAAGCATAACATTTTGGGGTATATTTTTAGAGTATAGTACATGACGTTCAGCTGTATCCAGGGGAGTCGGTTTCAGTTTGTTTAAAAGATAGGGTAAATAGTCTATTCAAACAGTAGTTACAGCAGAGGTCAAAGATAATTTAAAAGGTCTTTTTTGTTAATGTATTGGTCAGGTGAAAAGACTTTACAAAATGATTCTTGCTTGCTGTTTTTATAATTTAATTTAGCTTTTCATCCAGGGAATGATTATTTGTTTTTTCAGTGCAAGATAAGGAGAGGGAGGATGGTGGCATGAATGATTGGAAGGCAGTTACGAGGAGGAGCAAGAAGGGGTACAAGATCATAAGAACAAATTGTTCCTTGTAAGGTGTGTGGAGTGTAGTTAGATATTTTTTTTAATTCCTTTGGGACTTTGTTGCCTTTCAGTTTTTCTAGAACAGTTCTTGAGCTATATCTCCACTTAGAAGGTGACCGGCTAGTTTGGCTCATTGCCACCATCTTCATGCCGCGTTTGAGAACATCTGTGGGATTGATGTTCTTGAATGGACCATCCATGGCAGAATAGGTGAATTAACTTTAATTTGTGTTCCCCTCTCTTTCCCCTTCACTCCCATCAACGCAGCTGAGGGTTAGGTCTGTGCTTCACCTGAGGAGACCCTCAGCCTCACTTGTAATAAGACTAGATTGTGATCCTAGCAGACAAGCAGTAAACCCCCAAGTTTGAAAACGGTCTGTTGGTAAGGTTGTTTCAAACATTTACTAGTAGGAGTGTAAATTAGTCACAGCTTTCAATGAGGCCAGGCCAGCCTATGATCCATTTCTTGCCCTTTCCTTGCAGAGGGACTCATCCCTGCAGGAGCATTTCCCAGGCCTTGATTGGCTGGGTTTGGCCAATGGGAGCCACTGTGGGAGATTGGATGGAAGGAGGAAACCAGTTTATTTCTCCTTCCCTGGATCTGCCTGAAATGAGACAGTACCTCTTCTCTCCTTTTAGCTGTGGCTCCTGTGCTTTGACCCTCCAACCAAGAGGTGGTAGCAGCTTCTTGCTCTTGCTGATCTCTCAGTTGTCTTACCATTTCTTTTTTGACTTGTCAGTTTTTTCATCATGTGTGTAACCAATTCCTTATATTAAATTCTATTTCAGATCCTTAAAGGCTGCCATGGCCTCTTAGGAAATGGGCCACCCATCACCGCCTTGAGCTCTGCACCCTACCCCACCCACCATCCCCAGACTGTGGAAAAATTGTTTTCCATGAAATAAGTCCCCGGTGCTAAAAAGGTTGGGGAGCACTGCTTAAAGGGGTGACTCTTTCTCTGAGTGGACCCTGATAGATATAGGAGCATTGGGCAGTAGCTTTTAAAATTATAGGCATATAAATCCTTTGACTCAGCAGTCCAGTTCTAGGAATTTAACCTGCAGATACATTTGTATGTGTGTGAGATAACATAGGAACAAGATTATTCACTGTGTAGTTTGAATGTCCGTCAGCAGGGGACTTGTCAGATAAATTTTACCCAGATGATGAAGTTGTGAAGGTTGTAGAAAGGAACGGGAAGCTCTTTATAAATTGTTACGGAAAGATCTTCAAAATATCCTAAGTTACAAGAGCACAGTGTAGCAAAATGTGCATTGTATGCTACTATTTATGTTTTTGTTTGTTTGTTTGTTTTTAAAGGAAGTGCTTGTATGTGCATGAGAATTCTCTGGAAGGTTAAACAAGGAACTAGTAACAGTGGTTACCTGTTTGGGGAGGTTGGTAGGAATTGAGTGGTTGGGGAGTATAGGTGGGAAGAAAGCTTTTCACTGTATGCCTTTTTATTTTTGAAATTCAAAAATTTAAGTCTATCTTCACTTTTCTGAAATTGGAAAACAGTTACAGGGAAAAATAGTGTGCTAGTAAGAAAACATCCTTTTGAGGGAATTTCTATATATTAAAAATGACACAATATATATTAAATGTAAAGTTATAATGTGTTTTTTTTCAGTCTTTTCATAGGAAATTAACCACTGTACTTTTTCAGTCTTTTCGGAAAAGACTGAAAAAGTCTTTTTTTCAGTCTTTTCATAGGAAATTAACCACTATACTTTGGAGTGTTTAAAATGGACATGATAGGTGCTTTTAGATTATACTTAGAGCATATTCTTTTGTATTCTTTTATTTATTCAAATGTTGATAGTGTCCTTAGCAAATACCAGGTTCTGTGCTTGGCATGGGAGTTAGAGTGGTGAATAATGCAGATGGATTTCCCATGTTCGTGGAGCTTATGTTTAGATGGGAGACAAACTAAAAAGGTAAACAGGTATATAAAATAATTGCAGATTATGCTAAATATGTTAAAGGAAATCAAGAGGTTGGAGAAGAGAAGGAGGGTAGGCATGGGATGGGAAAGGTGTAGAGAAAGCCTCTGAGGAAATGCCTTTTCAGGTGCAGCCTGTAGGGATAGTGGACCAGGCAGAAGGAATGGCACTCAGCTGCTAGAGCATTGAAAGCAGCTTTGTGTGGCTTGGACAGAGAGTGAAGGGGGATAGGTAGGCTGGGGCCATATCAGGGAGTTTCAGTAGCTAAGGAATTTTATTCTAAGTACAAGT